TTTTGGCCTTTTTGAGGCAGGGTCTCGCTATGCAGTTCAGACTGGCCTTGAGAACACTTTGTAGCCCAGGCTGGCCTCGAACTCGCAACGGTCTTCCTGCCTCAGCCTCCCAAGTGCTGGCATTACAGGCGTGCGCCACCACGCCCGGCTGCTGAGTTACTCTTACTGCTTGGCAAAACATCCTTGGCCTTGTGGATTGGGGCCACAGGAAAGAAAAGTGTGGAAGGGCTTTCGGTGCTTGGGCTTCTGTAGCTTTTGAAAAACACAAGTGTGGGGGCAGGAAAGAGAAAAAGGAAAAGACCAGCTCCAATGGGCAACAGGCCCAGGGGATCCTGTCTTACTGTCCTGGACAAAATGTATTTAAATGGTCAACATGTCAGCAGGCCCAGAGCTGATCAGACTGTGCCCCAAGGATTCACACAGCAAACAAAGGGGACAGACACATTAGGAAGGCAGAGATGCTGAGCTTTTTGTTCCATTTTATTCACTTATCGGCCACCTGCCAGTGTTTTAGCAAAAGCGGCCTTCAATTCTCCAAGAAGAGACGTGGGCAACTGTTACCATGACTCCTATGTCAGAGGTGCTACCTGCAGCAGAGGTTGGTGGGAAGCTGTGCGTCTCCCAAAATTAGTGATTTTGACTAGAGCAAGTGAAGCCAGAGGGTTTACCTAGGTTTTACCCTGATAATAACTTCTTTGTTCATGCATGCAGGTTTTGTCAGGGTCTCACGATGGGTCTGTTGAAAGAGCACAGGGTAGAGGCCTAGACCACGTGTCAGTGCTTCAGACTGGGGGACAGGCGACTTGTCAGAGAGCAAACACACCCATGTGGCCATTTCTAGACCATATCCTGGAGCCAGAAGTGGCTGTGAAGGTGACGTTGTGGTGACCAGGAGCTACCTTTAGGGATGCAACCAACAGCACGAGCTCCTGGCCACCACGACGCCACCTCCGCTGCCACTTCTGGCCCGCACCCTCATCTCTTTCCGGCCTCACTGGCCTCCTCTCCGAGTCTGCTGCTTCCATCTTTGCTTTGTAACTCTCTACCCAGCAGCCGGGGTTCTATTGCTGGGATTTTGTTTATTTGCTTGTTTGTTTTGTTTTTGAGACAAATTCTTGCTGTGTAGTTCAGGCTGGACTTAATCTCACTGTGTAGTTTAGGATGGCTTCAATTTACTGTGATCCTCCTGCCTCAGCCCCCTGAGAGTGTTGGGATTACAGGTGTGTGCCACCATGGTGGGCTGGTTTTGCTTTTAAGAAACTCAGAGGGCATTGTTACCCCTAAAGGATTAGATATACCTCAGGTGTCCTCTCCCCTTGCTTCATTTTGTACCACTCTGCATTCTCTGTGGGAGACAAAGCAATGGCTCTGCCCCAAATACCCGTGTCCCATTCCCAGCCTCTCTCATCTTATACAGCAGAAGGGACTTTGTTTATGTGATAACAGCACAGTGCAGGATAATGGTGTGGGATCTTTTTTTTTTCACCAGTACTGGGGGACTGAACCATTGCGCTGAGCTACATCCCCACGCTTTATTTTTTTACTTTAAAGCAAGGTCTTACTGAGTCGCTGAGTTGCTGGGTTGGGCTGGAACTTGTGATCCTCCTGCCTCAGCCTCCCGAGTGCTGGGATTAGAGGCATTCGCCATCGTGCTCAGCTGAGTTAAACTGAGTTAAGGACCCTGAGATGGGCAGATGATCTTGGATTATCCAGCTGGGTCCAATGTCATTGCCGAGACCTTGTACCATGGCATATTTCAACAGAGCCAGCATGAGATGCTGATACAACCACAGAAGCTGAATGTTTGCAAGAAGTGAAACACCCTTACCGAGAAAGGAGCAGAAGTAAATAAGTAGATAACGCGTCTTGGCGTGTGGGTTGTGATATCTGCTGTCTGGGCACTTCCTGGGGACCTGAGAGCCACTTTTGCTGAAGCAGTGACTCTTGACTTCAGTTTGCAGAAATCTGGACATCGCAGAGCTGAGATGGCTTGGGGAACCCTGCCAGCACCCCACTGCCTCGTTGCCAGTCTGAACCCCCGGGAATGAGCGTAGCCCTGGGAGGCATCGGGGACAAAGTAAGGCTTGGACTTCACATACCCCGTGGAGGTCCTAGTTGCGCAGGACCTTAGGTCTCCTCTTTCCCAGCGTCCGGGTGGCCAGGTCTCGCCAGCCCCATCTCCTGGGAGCCAGGGCTGCTCCCTAGAGATCTGCTGCAGACTCCTATTCCGCAGCCCCCGCTCAGTGCCTTCACTGCCCCCTGGTGGACAGCGTGGCGCAGTGCCGCTTCCTCTGCCCCATGGAGAAACGGTCCAGCCACCTCCAGCCCTCCTTGGCGGGCATCCCGGAGGTTTCTCCCGTGATCCTCTTGGATCTCCCCCAGCGCTTGGCTTTGGCTAGACTTGGGGAAGGCTAGCGTCCCACAGCGCGGGCAAGCCCTGACACGCCGGGGCGGGTAGTGCAGGTGTTTTTCTCACAGCTGTGGGGAGCTTTGATAGGTGAAATTGGAGTGTAACCCATTTGTGTTTTAGACGGTGTGATGGAAATAATCACGTTCGGACAATGCTGATGGGATTGAAATTGGTCCCTCCTCCACCCCCCCCCCCCCCCGTACTGGAGACCAAACCCAGGGGCGCTCTACAACTGACCTAAGTTGAGGCTGGCCTCAGATTTGCAGTCCTCCTGCCTCAGCCTCTGGAGCAACCGGGCTGATACAAATTCTACAGAAGGTAATTTAGCAATGTCTACCAACAGTATGCCAGATGCACACATCTTTGATCCAGTAATTCCCCATTTAGGATTCTAACTTGTGCTTAAGTACAAAGTAGGTTTATACAAGGAGCTATTCAACAATATTGACTGCAAACGTAGATGTCTGGGAGATCAGATGTCCATCAGTTGGAAATGATTAATTAATTACTAGTGTGCTCCTGCAGAGGGTGCATTCCTTCAGCGGTCTCCTCTGCACCCAGAAAAACAAAGCCAAATGAACCCCAAACTAAAGGAGCTGCATACGGACATGGAATGATACCAAAAATATTTTATTGGATGAGACAAGCATGGTTCCTAACAGTAGATGTGTTTTGCTACTGTAAATAATAAAAGGATTTAAAAGGCGAGGGGCGTGGGAGTGCCTGGCACAGCAGAGACCAGTTCTGAACTTTCCACGGAGAGGAACCCAGTGTCTGAGAATTAGGCATGGGAGGATATGCTATTTTGTAAATTCTTTCCTAGGTTTTGAATTATGTACCAGCAATGCTACTCAAATAGGGAAAAGCAATTAATAAAATGTTTTGATTTGAAGCAAATACAATTAATAACATGTTTAGATTTTTATGATGGGTGAAAGACTTAAATGACGTGTTAACACTCTGAACTTCTTGAAAAAGCCCAAGGGCATTGTGCCACGATCTGCTTGGCTTCCGGTGAGGGCCTGATGTGACTTCAATTCCTAGCAGAAGGCAAAAGGAGCAAAACAAGCCACTCTGTGGTACCTAATCCAGTCCTGTGAGGATAATCACTCACTCACTCCTACCGAGTGGCATCAACCCGTTCCGCGGGCCTCTGCCTCTATGACCCAAACACCTCCCACCAGCTCCCTCTTCCTCCCAACATGGACATATTGAAGAGTTAAGTCTCAGCATGCGTTGTGGTGGGGATAAGCCACATTCAAACCACAGCAATAGCTCAGTAAAAAAAAAAAATATGCAAGGAAAATGAGAAAAACCTGATAGAACTGTGCACCAAAAGAATTAGTTTTACTGTATATAAATTTTTAAATAAAATTTAAATATGATGATATCTCAAGTTCCTTGAGGGCATACCGTAAATCTGAATCCCCTCTGCATCTGCAAGAGAGCCTGCTACGTTGCAGCATGCCTGGCAGTCACTTATTAAAGTAACAGATAGAACTGATCTGTGGGAAAATGTGAGCATCTTTGGGGAAATTACCTTTTCATTCCATAGCCTGGTGCTGAAGGAGGTTTCCATTTCTCAGAGATTGACAACTGTTTAATTGCTATTTGAACCCAGTTCCCTAGATAGTCATTTTCTGAAATGTCATCAGTTGCCAGTGTTGGTCAATGTACCCCCGTGGTTTCCAGAGAAATCTCGATCTGACTGGACAGACCCACAACTTCTTATAAGTGGGGTCTGATTTCTTCTGCATTCTTCAAGAGTTTCTACACATGGGCGCAGAAACACACGTGCACAGATCCACTACAGATTATAGCATGAGCAAGAAACAGTTATTTGTTGGATTTAGCCTCTGAGATTTGAGGATTTATCTTTCTTATCAAGGCCCTGGTATGTCCTTGAGGGGAGCTGTGATGGTCATGCTTGATTGTGTCTGTTTGATTGGCGTGGGAGTCACCCAGGGAACTGGTGGAACACACTTCTGGGTGTGGCTAGGTGGGTCATGGAAGCATGGCCTTGGGAGCTATATCTGGTCCCTCACCCCTTCTTCTAGAGCTGCTCCTCTGCTCTGCTTTCCGGCCACCACGTACTAAGCACTTTTGCTATCCACCACATGCTTCTGCCATGATGTTCCTGCCTTGGAGCCAGCGGACCATGGACTGGAGCTCCTGAAGTCGTAAGCCAAATTAACCCTCTCCTTCTTTAAATTGGGAGTGTCTGGTACTGCGTCCCAGCTACAGGAAAGCTAACACAGGAAGTTAATACAGGGATTAGTTATGAAGGGTGGATGAAGTGGGGACAATGTAGAACCCAGGGCTGGGAATTCCTGGGGCTCATGACACCACCCAGAGCCTGAAGGAGAAGAGAAGGGCCTGGTTTCTGGGATTGATGAGAGCAGCTGCATGGGTAGAAGGAGGAGCCATTTTGTTGGTGCCTTCCACTGGTCATGCCCAGCATGATTCCAGAGGGCCAGGAACTTCCTGTTGCAAGACACAAGGGCAGCAGACTCCACAGAGAAGGGTAGAGAAGGAAGGAGGGTATCTGGAGAGTAAAGAATATCCTACCCACATGCTACAGCAGCCATTTTATCCACCCTAAACTCCACCCATTGCAGGGCCAACCCTCCTTTAAGGGTTTATTGGCTAGAGTATGTTATAGTGCTCAGAAAATACAGGCTAAAGAGGTATCCATTTTTGAATGAGAATAACTGCATTTAAGCCAGGCGTGCTGGCCCCCACATGTAACCCCAGCACTTGGGAGGCTAAGCCAGGAGGATCTCCATGAGTTTGAGACCCTGTCTCATTCCCTGTCCCCCAAAAGAAGAACTGGATTTAAGGGGATCATAAAATATACTTCCCAAATCCATGAAGAGGAACAAGCAAGCTGCTCTTTGTGGAAGTGTTTTATAAAGGAGTATACAAATATAATCTATTGTGATCACTCCCCACCCTCGTCGGTTCCTATTAGTGACCCTTTCCACGGCACCAGTTATCAGGGACGAATGCAGTAAGTCCCCACAGTCTCCTGCCTGGATTATGGTACACAGGGAAGAAAAAAAGGAGCAAGAGACAAAATAGAGGTGCGCAGCAGGGATCTGGGGTGACAAGTTGCTCTCAGGGAACAAAACCCCAGGAGACACCCAGACTCTAGGTATTTATTCATTACATCTGAGTCAAGGACAATATGTGAAGGGCGTTGGGTGTTTCAGGGAACAGTAATGGCTACTACGGTGGGCTAGGAAGATCAAAATATTCTTGCCAGGACAAGGACAAGGACGAGACAGGGGTCAATAAGGAAACTGTAGTTTCCTCAGGTACCTGATCTTCTTTAGCAGGTCTTATCTTGCCCTGTGAGTGCCACAGCAGTCATTAGCCCTAGGGCTTCCATCTGTGACCAGAAAAGGAGTTTCTGAGTTCCAATCTGGCCCCGAACGGCAGGACAAGGACAAGCTTGGACATCCCCTCGACTCAGTTTATAATTCGTGGCCCCCAGCAGGATCCTACACCAGGATCATGAACTCTACATTCCCAGGACTTACTTCTGCCCCATTGAAATTCCAGCGGTGGCATCCTCACTTCGGCCTCTGTCATCACCCGTGGTTTCCTAAGTGGCCTCTGCTGTCTTGAGTCCTTCCTGGAGACGACGCACAGAGGATACTGATGTTACAGCCACGTGCTTGGGGGTTGAGGTCAGGCTTTGCCATTCATCAGCTGGGATCACAAACTGGCTCAGCACTGTGTTAGATAAAACCTACAGGAAGCTGTTGTGCTAGGCCAAGCTCTTGCCCCATGCCCCCAATGGACCAGACCAGAAATCAAAAAGGAGTCCCCATGCTAAAATTCCACTTCACCAAACCAAGTCTAAGCTGTTATCTGACTCTCTGAGAAACCAGGAAGCTGTAACAGCAAAACTTCCTAAACAGGGCAATTTCAGTTGGCAGGACATTGAAGTCCCTTTTGCTTTATTCCTCGCTGAAAGTAACCCGAGTGGTCTTGATAGGAACCCATCTCTTACTTTTCTACTGTCCTCACTGTCCACGTCTTACAAAGAATTTTGAAATGACCAATCAACATGTTCTTCTTTGTTTCTGGTTTTTTTTTTCTTCAGTTTGTCTCTGTCTCTAAAAGCAACCCCCTTGGGCCTTCTGATCACTTGCCCTACCTTGTGGTCTGATTCTAGAATTGAAAATGAAGATCTTCACGCTGTGTTGTAATTTTGTCCTTGGACACCTGTTTAATGTCCCCACTTCAGAGAAGGAAGAGCCGCTTCCAAAATGTAATGTACGTAAAACATCCGTCCGGCTGGGGCAGTAGCTCCGGGGAAGCGCACTTGCCTAGCATCAGAGCCTGTTCCATCCACAACATTGCCCAAAAAAGGAATACTACTACTAATAATAATAATAAATAAAGTTTTACAAAGACATCTGTTAAAGCAAGTGATCAATAGGTTACAGTTCTTATTGTCAACCACCCCCACCACTTGTGCCTGGCCCATCTTCCCAAAGAACAGATTTGGACTGTGAGGGCCGGATGTGGAGAGCACTTGCCTCTTGGACAAGAAGCTCTGGGTTCTAATTCCAGCACCACAAAACAAAAGCAAAACCCCTCCTGGGATTCCTATCGGGGCTGGAAGAGAAGTACAAAGTCCTCATTGTTGGCTGGGGAGCGCATTATAGAGAAACCAGCAAAGGTTGTGCCAAAAGTAACTGAGGACCCTGAGTGTTGGCACACACTGTAATCCCAGCACTCCCACAGGCTGAGGCAGGAGGATCGCAAGCTCGGCGTGAAATTCCTGGGTTCAGTCCGCAGTAGGGGAAAAAGGAAAGATTAGCTGAGGGAGCATCAGTCAGAAGTCAGCCAGCTCTGGGGGAATTGTAGAAGTCAGCCAGCTCTGGGGGAATTGTAGAAGTCAACCTGAGCTCATAGTGGGAGGCTCAGATCTTGGAAAATAAAGCAAAATAAGGAGTGAAAGGAAACAGCAGACGGACGGCAGAGTTTGTGAGCTTCTGGCAAGAGGCAGGAGAGCCAAGAACACAGAAGATTCTGGCCACCTGGAGCCGGGGACCCATGAACGCCACGTGGGGTTGCCCTGGCAACAGACCCCACCCCCTCCTGGCAAGGCATCCAGAAAAAGCTCCTGCACACATGGGGACCCAACTGTCTTGGTAGCTCCTGCTTAGGCTCAGATTAGAGGAGAATTTTAGAGGCTTTGCAGACAACCTGCTCCCACGCTGTGCTTCTGGTGCTAAATCCTGAAATTGCGTGTCTGTGGTGTCTTGCCTCTGCCTTGGGGGACAGCTGTCTAGAAGAAATCACACCCTAGTAAAAGGCAAAGGCCCCTTTTTGAGACCTCTGCATGAGTTGACCTGGGATCATGGGATGAAATCACCCCAAGCAGCCACTGCCTTCCTAGAAGATTGGGAAGTAGGACATGTGTGCTGAAATGTTCTAAATCCCCCTCTGGGACAAGGAACCTGGCTTGGGAGGCAGAAAAGTAGAGCTGACATCCTTAACCCTAACCCTAAACCCTAGCCCTAACCCTACAGCCCAACCCTAACCCTAACTGACCACTTGAGAGAACTCAGGATGAAGATAATTCAGCAAATGAATTTTTGGCTTTGAGTAAAGTAATGGGAGAAAGAATTTGGGGAACACGAGTTGGCTTCTATTGGTTGCATGTGACAAAGCCTGATAGTAAAGAGTTGGTTGGTTTATACGTACAATTTAAGTGTAATATGGAAAGCCTAGAAACTCTAGGATTTATACAGATGAATGGTGATTCTATTTCCCAAAAGGTAAATGACAAAACTGGGACATGCTTGTGATACATAGCAGAGATCCTTAATACTTACTCTGATGATTACAACCAAAGCAAGGGGGCAGATACTGTCCTCTGTTAAGACCCCTGAATCAGTTAAGATGCTACCTGGAAAAACTTTTAAATTGGACCAAATGAGGATAATGAGACTGATAGTCTCCAAGGGAGTCCGAAAAATTTCAAGCAACTGGAGGTAAGCATAGAGAGACGCTGCTTCAGAGAGTGTCATTAGTACTTACAGCTGATCAGAACCAATATTCACAACGCCAACTAAATTTCTGAGAAATTCACCACAAGAACCACAAGAACCATAAACCTGAATGAACAGACAATGACTATGCCGGCGCTTGGAATGACTCTTTGACCCTAAAACATTCCACAGCTAGGAAGCAGCAAGAAGGCTGCTGTGTTTCAGGGAGAACAGAGCTCCAAGGTCTAGTTCAGGTAGGGTCATTAAGCTAATGATCCTTCCAGGCTGGGAGCCATGAGCCCCAGGAACAAGGGACTAGAGAGTCACTTCCAGAGAGAGAAGTAAGATGCACTCAAGGAATTTTCTCCAACTCTAGGTAGGAGTTTTTGCAAGGCATGCACAGGGCATATAGCCTTTAGCACTTGTAGTCAGGGTTTTCAAGGGAATAGATTTAATATAGGACATGTAATTTAAGGATTATTTTTATAATATTCGCCTAATGAGTCAAATGCAGAAGAGTGCAGGAGATCTGTCCACGCACTAGAGACCCAAAGAATCCAGCTGAGGGTCTGGATCCCACAGCAATGTCCTGCATGAGTCCATCTGGAGCCCAAGAGCCCATGGCAGTGTTGCATCTGCACTGGGAAAGCCCAAAGGTCAGTGGTGGAAGCTAGCAAGTCTGCACCAGTGGAATGAGGGATCTGTTCCAGCAGGCTGAGGAATCTGAGCTGGAGCCAGGGAGTGTTGCTTAAGGTAAGGGCCAGAGCTCCCAGGAAAGAACCACAGCCATCCTCAGTGACAGTGAGGATCTGAGCTCTTCCAATGATTGAGAACAGCTGAGTTCCTAACAGGAAAATCAGCATGACAGACTTCTCCAGGAGAACCAACAGCACACCATCTTCCCCTCTAGTTCTCCTTGTAATGCTGCTGGCAACAATCCTCAGGTGGGCCCTCCACATCCAGTACCATGCCGATTCAGTTCAGCTGGGTGTTAAATCCACCACAGCACTGTATGGACCCACAGCTCCTGCCTTCCTCCTTTCCCAATTTGAGTGGCAGTGTTTACTAGGGTTAACCTCCCTGTTCCACCACAGTACAGAAGTCCTCCCGCTTGTTATTTCCCTCCATTTCAGTTACCAGTGGTCAACCACAATCTAAAAATATTGCATAAAAATTCCAGAAATAAACAATTCATAAGTTTTAAATTCTGAGTCATATGGTGAAATCTCATGCCATCCCATTCTGCCTGCCCAGCTAGTCATTTACCTATCTTGGTTATCAGATGGACTATCATAGTCCAGGTGTAGTGGACCATGCATGCAATCTCAGCACTTAGGAGGCTGAACCAGGAGGATTAGAAGTGTATTAGTCAGCTTTCTAGTTGCTGGGGCAAAAATACCTAACACCCTCAATTCAAGGAAAGGTTCAGTTTGGTTTATGGTTTTTGGGGCTCAGTCCATGGTTGGCTGTCTCTGAGGGAGGAATGGCATGGTGGAAGTGCAGGGGGAAGGGAAGCTGTTCACCTCAGGGCAACCAGGATGCAGAAAGAGAAGGGAGGATGCAAGGAGGAAGATGAACCCTCCAAAGGTGCACCCTCACTGACACCCCTCTTCCAACCAGACCCACCTTCTAGCAGCACATTCAGCTATGAATTCATGAATGGAGCAACCCACTGAGTATAGCACCCCATGGTGCAGTCACCCTCCAAAAGTCCCACCTCTGAACACATGAGTCTCTGGTGGGGCTTTCTAGATCTAGAGCATAATAGCAAGTTTGAGGTCAGCTTGGGGACCATAGGAAAATCCTGGCTTGGCAAACAAAACGAAACAAAGATAAAATAAACAAACAAAAAAATCAGATTGATTGTCACAGTATCTTCATGTTTGCATTCAAGTAACCCTTATTTTACTTAATGGCCCCAAAGTTGGCAATGGTACCACAGTGCAGTATTATAATTTTTCTCTTCTCTCCCTCCCCTCTCCCTCCCCTCCCTCCCCCACTCTCCCTCCCTCCTCTTCCTCCTTCCTCCTCCTCTTCTTCCTCCTCCTCCTCCTTCTTCTTCTCCTCTTCCTCTTCCTCCTCCTCTTCCTCCTCCTTCTCCTTCTCCTTCTTCTTCATTATTGTTGTTATTGTACTGGAGATTGAATGCAGAGAGTAACCAATCTACATTCCCAGCCTTTTTAAAATTTTATTTTGAGACAGAATCTCATTAAATTTCTCAGGCTGGGCTTATACTTGGGGTCCTTCTGCCTCTGCTTCCTGAATGGCTAATATTATTGCAGGTATGTGCCATTGCAATAGGCTTTATTATTATTATTATTATTAATTTCTTACTCTGGCTGATTTAGAAATTAAACTATTGTAGGTACTTATATACAGGCATAAACATGGTATGTATAGGGGTTGGTGCTATCTAAGGTTTCAGGCATTCACGGAGGTCTGGGGATGTGTCCCCCACATAAGGGGACTTGTCTGTGTTGGTGACTGCTGGGGAGGAGGGCAGATAACTTGTCTGGCTCATGAAAAGGAACCACAACTGATGTGAAATGAAGACTCTAGACTTTGATCCTGATGTGATGGATGGATGGGATTTGTGGTGTTTTCCTTGTGGAGGAAGATAACTATACTTTGGGAAGCAAAAGATTAACCAAGAGGGTGCACTGTGGTGGGCTGTAATGATTGTTCCAAGTATTCACTGTCTATACAAGGATTTCTAGTCTCACTACTTGCCACAGTGCTGTGGGACCCTTTTGTGCGGTAGAGCTATATGAAGAAATTACAAGACTCTTGCAAGGCAAGAACCCTACCACTGAGCCACATCCCCGGCCTAATTACAAGATTCTTAAAGATGGATCTTAAATCAGAATCATCTTTGTACTTCTCAGAGAACCTGGGCATTGTCTATGGTCAGTAATCACTAATTAAAGTAAGTGATAATTAAATTAAAAATCATGTTCTTCGGGCAGACATTAGCAACCTCTGGACAAATAATCTTTCGTTGCCATGGATGAGATTGATAAGCCTCAGTGACAGTGAATCTACCTCCTGCGATGGTGACCAGCTGCCTTCGTAGCTCTATGTACTATGTTTTCCAGAGAAACGAACCCAGCGTCTTCCAGCTACGACTTCTTCTACACATTTTGATCCAACTTCCTCTGCCTCTTCCCAATTGCAGCTGAATTTCTACACACACACACACACACACACACACACACACACACACACACACCCCTCTCAATCCTTAATTCCTCAGACCAAAATGTTCTCTTCTTGTTGGATAATACCAAGGTCAGCTCTTTGGTAAACCTCAGCTCTGCTGACTGCCCAACTTCAGATCGATCTCTTCCTGGCTAACATGAAAATTTGCAGGAATTTCAGCTTACAGGAAGTGCTGCAGCCCCAGTGAGGGTAGCAC